TATCCATAATGTATATAGAAGTTTTAATCCTGTCTCTCTCCCCCCGGGGGGGAATTTCGAAAAATCCCTTCTTAGTGTGCGTTTTCGTGACGTACCCTATCTGTGTACCAAATTTCAACTTTCAACTCCTAACCGTTTGGGCTCTGCGCTTATTATTATTATTATTATTATTATCATCAACCCGTCTCGATTATATATTACATAGAGGCACGTAGACCTGAATTTCTTATGCATCAAAAGTATAGCTCTTTTCTTTGTGTTTGAATTTCAACAAAACCATATTTCTGGCATTACGTTTATACGGAATATAGGCACTTATCAATGTAAATTAGCGAAATTCATATACAAATGTTCGCACAGATATTTAAATAAATTCATTCTGTACTAAAAATATTGTGTCTAAAGTAAATTTTTAAAATTAAACATACTTTATTTTCTTATATTCAGAAACTGAACATGTCAAAATATAAAATGTCCAATTACAGTATTGAATAAATACTTTTAATTATGGCAATATTCAAAAATTATTTTAGAAGCACGAGTTTAAATTGTTTACCAATGGAATTAGACCTTGAATACATTCGAATTTTAATATATTTTAAACTACATTGTTAAATCAAATTCATTTGTATGATTTTCATCTAATTATTTTTTACCAGGTGGTTTAGCCCTACTCTCTTTGCCCAGTTGTTCAAAAATTTCTTGACGATTTATCGATTCCTAATGCCTTCGTCTCTATGTTTTTTCTTCTTATTTTGTTCCTGACGATCTTAAGCTAAGTGTTTTATTAAAGTTATATATGATAAATAGATGTCACATTCAGATAATTCTAAAACAAAATGAAAAAGTTCATTTAAAATTATGCTCTCTGGAAATTATTCTAATCAATAATATTTTAGAGATTTTCATTTTCATTAAGAAATTCACTTCATATTCAAATTTTAATTTGAATATTTTGCATTTAGTTGAACTTAGGGTACGTTCGTTAAGTCGAACGAGTTAAACGCGTTAGTAACGAATCGTTCGAAAAGTAGTAGTCTCGCTCAGTGCGCATGCTCTGCGGTGATGACGTTTCGAACGAAACTCTAACGAAGTTCACGAAGGAAAGAGTTGGTTTACTTCGTTAAGAAAATGGCGTCCAACAGCATCGATTTTTCTGATATACTTCATATGTGCGCTAATTGTGGATTGAAGGAAACAGGTCACAAATAACGACCCATGTACAGAAATGTGGAAATGAGAATGGTAAGCAGAGCTCTTTTCTTATTTTTTTTACCTTAAATAAAAATTAACATACGAAATTTCATAAAATCTTATACTGTATTTTATCCTAATTACTTTTTTACAAAAACTACACATCTGCATAAGATATAAGTACAGTATATAATAAAGGAACATACCATTATAAATAATTATTATGTCAAGAATTAAGAATATTAATGATTATATCTGATGCTCAAGTAATATTTCTAAACAGTTGATACATTTTGTACAGTTTTTCCTTAATTATTGAAGTTAATATAGAACAATTAATAAGCTTTTTGTCCTCTTAGAAATAAGTAAAGTAGCACAATTATTCACTTTTTGTTGGGACTTATCACACACTGAGTTGGATTATAAATCCCAACAAAAAGTGAATAATTGTGCTATGAAGTTAATATGTTAAATAATAAATGAATAGTAGCTGAATAAATTCAATATGTTTATATTTAAAAAAGAAACATATGCTACAGAACAGTAGGTGATAACATACAAGGCTAGGGCATCTAAGCATGAAAAATAAGTGATATCTTTAATTATTTATATGACTTTTAGGACCTAGATGTCTTAGCTTTAATAATAAATCAATTCATATTAATATCAGTTTTAATTAGAATATTTTATTACTTATATGAAGATTAATTTGAACAAGCTAAGTGTTCTTTTGTTGTACAAATTAAGCATTTTGCTTTTAAAATAGACATTTTTAATTTAAAAACTATAGTAATTTTAATGTTTAGCTTGATCAAATTTAGATCTGTCTCATCTAAAATGTGATTAAACACATCTATATACTTTTTAAACATAAGCAGTAAATATAATTAAATTATTTATGTTTTCAGTTGATCCAAACATAAGACAGACAACAGATGAAGCTCCTGGAGGAAGTCAGTCTGTGTCATTCAGTTGGAGTGATGAAACAACACGCTTGCTTCTCAATCAATATAAAATGAATGAGAGCATGTTTTCATCTCCTCATTTTAAAAAAAAGCAAGTGTGGGAAAAAATAGCCAATAGCTTTAAAAGCTATGGCTATTTTGTAACACCATTACAATGTGAAAATAAATTTAAATCTTTAAAAAATAACTATAAAATAATAAAAGATGATAATAATAAAAGTGGGTCAAGCAGGAGGAAGTGCCGTTATATGGCTGAATTAGATGAAATATTCGAAAAGGATTCAGCGATACAGCCTATTTCTTTAGCTAGTTCTTCCTCTGGATTTAATAATTCTGTTATGGTAACAGAAAATGAAAATAATACAACTCAGGAAATGCCATCACCTAAAGCATCTGCAAAGAAAAAGTGCAGGAAAGAAGAAGAACCGGAATGGTTTAAAAATTACAGAATTAGTGTTGAAAAACGGCATGAAGAAAATATACAAATAAAAAAATTATTATTAGAAAAATTACAGCAGTTAATTGATAAATTGTAAAACCTTTTGTAAATAAAATATTGATTTATAGTTTGAATGTGTTTTAAGTTGCTTTACGGTGGTTAAATTAATTGTAAATAAATCACTAAAATATTGAAATCATCGTTTGTGAACTCAACATGAAAACTTTTATTTTTCTATGAAATGACATGACAAAGAATAATTTTCTAAACAGATATTACATTGTACAGAAATACTGTAATTATCAAACATGATTTCTGATAGCTTAGAAACTATCAGAAATATGTTGTCTTTTTCTTTGAGCAGCACTGTTATATTGTATATTAGATGATTCTGTTTCAAGAGTTTCATCATCACAATTAACTGTGTCAAATTCATCAAAATCATCCCCTGCCATCAAACAGATGTTATGAAGTACACAGGCTGATAATATGTAGAGAGGCAACATTGATGTTTTATTTGCATCAAAATATTTTAACCGTCTAAATCTTCCTTTTAATAATGCAAAGCTCCTCTCAATAACAATTCTGCTTTTTGACAGCTTATTATTATATGTATGCATTTGAGCAGTTAGGTGATCATTATTTTTAAATGGTACCATCAATGACACCATAACCATAAGTGGGTAGGCAGCATCTCCCACAATGTGATAATCTGATAAGGAAGAATCATTAAGTTTCTGAATCACTTCAGAATTTCTGAAAACTCTGGCATCATGAACAGAACCAGGGAAGCCACAATAACAGTCTGTAAAAACTAAGTTATGGTTGCAGACTGCCTGCAAAATTACAGAATGAAAATTCTTCCGGTTTACATATTTTTCCGCTGCTTCACTTGGAGCTTTAATAGGAATATGGCACCCNGCGTTTTTCAACGCGCGTTTTAAAGAACCAAGAGTTCTATGTAGCCGTACACACTCAAACGCCAAGCGCGCGTTAAACGCGCGTTTATAGATTTTTGTTAAAACGCGCGTTTTGCGGGCACTTTACGGGCGCTTTGAGATATATGTGCTGCCTTATAGCGACGATGGAGGAGCACACACAATCAATTACTTTCTCGTCCATTTCCAAACTGAGCCAGTGCTAAACGCCGAACTAACGCTCGTCGAACGCCGAGCTAACGCGCGTTAGCTCGGCGTTAAACGCGCGTTGAAAAACGCCTAGTGTGTACAGGGCCTTAGTCATTTGAATAAGATAGATTCACATAAAAGTGTTTTTTAAATTCAGTTTATAACTTTCATATTTCCAATCACTGTAGCAGATAAACCATTCATAATGTTTTTATTTGTAAACATTACTGTATAATCTTTTTAAAATCAACATATAAAAAAATTAAATCTTGTTGTTTAAGAACTTGTTTAGAATAGTTCTAAATACATTAAATTACTAGCAGATTAACCCCGGCGAGACACAGTTGAAACTTTACAATCCCCAACATTGGCACTGAATGCTGAGAAAATTGAAATATATAAGAGTAGGTTGGAGGATAAATGTATTCATCAAGAGATGATGACAGTTTACCATCAGCATGGATGTTCATTGTAAAATATAAACTTTATAAAAACTCCTAATTACATTTACTAAGATATATTTTTTTTATATTTAAAATTTACAATTATTGTTTTATTTTTATATTTCAGTTTTGTTAGTAATTTAGGTTAGTTTAGAATTTTTATATTATTTTTGTGTTCTTTATTCAAATGTTTAAAATTTAATGCCTTATATTTGGTGTTCTATTTTGGAATAGTTTATAACTAATGTTTCAAAAATCAGTCACCTGACGATAACCTGTATACTAGGATAAAACGTTTCTGTATAGCAAAAAAATGCCTCTTAGCAGTTATTTGCTATATACCCATGGTTCCCAATTAGTGATACACGTACCCCTGGGTACGCGCGGAAATCTAAAATCGGTCGATTTAAAATTTAAATGCATGAGATAAAGCAATCAAAAAAATAATGGGTGGGCCATAAAAAATTCGACAATTTACATGATGATGTCGAATGCAAAAATTCGTTTATTGTACAAAAATTGTACAATTAACACAATTTGTGTTAATTGTACAATTTTTGTTTCTTGCGTAAGAATTTCATTTAGGTATTGTCACAAATGCATTTTTGATGAAATTTCGAGAATATTTTAGTTATAAATAAACGAATTTGTGCATTCGACATCATGTTGTAAATTGCCGAATTTTTGATGGTCCACCCATTATTTTTTTGTAATAACCCGCCCACCAATTAACACAATTTGTGTTAATTGTACAATTATCATTATTATCATGTCAGCGAAGCGGCAATAAGATATTTACCACCATTTTGCACAACATACCTCTGCGAGAGCGGATTTTCGGCCATGACAAACATGAAAACTAAACATCGTCACCGCTTCAACTCGAAGATGACTTGAGACTGAAGCTGACCAAAAAGCAACCAGATTTTACAAAGTTGTGCAAAGAAAATCGTGCACATTTATCACATTAAAATTAAATAAACTTATGTTATTTTCATTATTATTAGAATTGTATTTTAAAGGTAATAAATGTAAAAAAAAAAACTTATTCTATTTATCACTAGCTGTCTACCCACAGCTTTGCCCGCATTACATCGAATTTTTTCATGGGAGTAAGATATTTTCTCGCAGTAAAATGTAGCCTATGTCCATCTCTAATGTCCATCTATGTAAGCTAATTCTGTGCCAAATTTTATTAAAACCTGTTCAGCGGTTTAGACGTGAAAGGGTAACAGACAGACACACAGAATTAACTTCGAATTTATAATATTAGTATGGATTAATATGAATTTCTGCTATAAGGGGTACACGAGTTTGAGCTCTTTCTTTAAGTGGTACGCAGGAAAAACTAATTGGGAACCACTGCTCTAGAGTCATCACGCCGGATATTCGATGACATAGACAAGACATAATACCTCAGGTAGTGTGTGTGATGTTTTATCAATTGTAAACTCTCTCTCGGCCTAGTAGCAGATACTGTAAGTAGTTAGATATTCGAGTTTGTTCTTTCGACGTTTCATTCGAGACTCGGAATATGTTTTTACAGCAGTGGCGTGCCGTCATTAGAAGCGGTGGATACGCCGCTTTCCTTGTATTTTCTAAAACATAAATACATATTAATTTTAATTATATGAAAATAATCGCTCAATATTTTATTATAACCGCATTATGTATCTTATTACAAATTTCTATACTACACATGAAAAAAAAGATAAGATTGCTATTGTATATTCGAATATTAGTGGCGGAGTAGCTGAGTGGAAACGCTGTAATGTCAGCATCCAAAAAGCCAGATTCGCGCATGCGCTTTACAGAGCACTAACCTCACCAGTTTAGCAGGTGGAAGCCTACGACCTTGGGTGGCTGCTACACGTATAATGCATCCAATTCTATCCAGGACCGGTTCCGGGCTGTTAGCCGCCCGCCCACTAGATATTTGGCCGTCCTCGCCCGATTATGTGAATCACGAGTAGATTTATAACTAAATTTTCAATATCGCAATAACATTCTGAATCGCTGGCTACGATATAAGGGTTAAGNTGTGTGGAATAAGAATGGCTTTGACAATTCAGCTGGCAGACATGAAAAATCGTCGGTTAATGTTCAGGGTCGTAGACTGTCATGGCGACTCTTCCTGTTTTAGCCTAGAAACCGGACCGCTTTGGAGACGACGTGTCACGTGACGACGCGAGCGAACGGCGGCTGCTGCTGCGCCGCGATAAACGGGAAAAACCGACGCGCGGGTTAACGTCCATATACGTAGACTCATGGCGGCTCATCTCTGATTCCGAAAAAGAAAAGGAAACAGTGGGGACGCACGTTCTAACCTAACCTAACCTAACCTATTTTAATAATTTAATCGGTAATAATTGTGGTAATTTATTAGAATAGGTTAGGTTAGAACGTGCGTCCCCACTGTTTCCTTTCGTTTGCTGGAATCAGCGGTGAGCCGCCAGCGCTGCCGCCGCCGTTCGCTCGCGTCGTCACGTGACACGTCGTCTCCAAAGCGGTCCGGTTTCGAGGCTAAAACAGGAAGAGCCGCCATGACAGTCTACGACCCTGAATATTGAAAATTATAACGAGATAGTTACGGTTAATAGATATATTATATCTAAATAAATAGATGTTATATGTTTTTATCAAAGCAAAAATTGGCATTTAGAGGGCATATGGAATATATTGGATCTAATAACAGAGTAACAGAGGTTTGTTTGAACTTGTTTATTTGTTAAGTACGTCAGATAAATAATCTATTAAAAATACATTTAAAGAATTAACTGATTGCCCCTGGAAGTCGGCTTCTTATAAAAACAGCTTCCCTATCATCAAATGTCACAGCACGCCACTGTTGTACAGCCTATCTATATGTCTATGTATTTGTTCTCTTATAACTAGTTATTTGTATTATTAAACTTGTTTGGTTTACTTGGATTTAATAACAGTTCTTTTGGATAGCCCAATGACCTCACTGCCCTCCCTGCTTGAAACGAATTTAAAGTCACGTCCGGAGAGAGAGGACAAATTAGATCGCAAGATTCGAGGATCTCGGAGAATAGAAACATCATCCAGTGACAACATGAGCAGGCTTCACAGGTCTGACACTGCACATAGGTGACGGAGTAACTGACTTCTCCCAGGCAGCTTCTCACACTTGAACAGAATAATTTGGGATGCTGAAAGGCTTATTATATTAGCATAGTAATCCTTAACACAAGTTACTTGTAAGCAATTTTTTTTTAAAGTCATATCTTCTAAGAAATTTCAGCTTTTCTTCTTGTTAAACCTATATTCATAGTAGGCATTCTCTGTGAATTTCCAAATGTTTTTATTTTACCATAATCCACCATATTTTATTTTACCATTATTTTACCATAATCTGGAGCTTACTCCAGGAAACTGGTGTGTTATAGTTGCCCAATCCAAATAGTCACTTTATTTATGTTATCCATGTTCACTCTCACCTCTCTAGTAATGACATGGATTCCCAAAGTACTACCAGAGTTTACTTGCTTCAAATTTTCTATTTGTTTTTACCATAATCCACAAATTACAAATGTCAGAAGTTCAGTAAACTGAAGAAATCTTTTTTCCAGAAATTACCTTAGTTTCATGCACAAACTCAGAAGATACCATAGGATTGCTGCCATAATCCCTCTTGCACTAGTTAAGTTTATCAGGATTTGATTAAAAAAATTATAAAATGTAAAACATTGATCATTATCTTTTTTGACAATGTATTAGAAAATAATTCACCATACTATTCAAAAATGAATACTGTCTACGGAATTTCTTACATGTGCACAAAATCTATAAACTTAATCTTGTGTTAGATCTATAGGAACTTATTACAGTTGTCAAAACAATCAAATAAAATTGTGCTAATTTTATCACCACAAACAACTTGCTTCAAATTGTTAAAGTTTAAAACAACTTGCATTTGAAATATCATGTCAGCAATTGTGTCTTATCATTTTTTGCAAATGGCAATTTTATGAGTAAAAACAAAACTAGTGCATTATTTAGAACAATGGTCAGCAACCGGTAGTCTGTGAGAAAATTTGGGTGGTCCGTGGAGAAATTTGAACATTGATCAACCAAAGGTTGCACGAAGTATTATGAAAGAAATGCAAAATGCTTAGTTGTTTTTATCACTCATTGGGGTTTTTTATTCAAATCTAAAACCAAAAGTGAAGTGACCGTTATCAATAAATAATGAACAATAAACAATATTGTGAGTGCAATTGTCGTCCTTTGTGGAAAAGTGCAAAGAATCCATAAACTTGTTTCAAACAAGCAGCAATAAACTTTAATTATAACAAATTAATGCAAGCCTAAACATGTGAGTTTCATATTAATATAGTAAAAATTGAACTTTTATGATCATTATTCTACAGATTTTGTATCATTTAAAAAAATTCATGATAAAGGTCTGTGGGATTCAAAATTGTGACTTTAGTGGTCCATGAGGTAAGAAAGGTTGCTGACCACTGATTTAGAATACAAACACTTTTAAAGAAAACAATTCCTTAAAAACTCAATGATAAGGTATCATTAAATTGATAGGGTAGAATTAAAAAATGATCATTTCTTTCACTGTAAAAATTTTTAAAATTAAAAAACATAATTTGTACTGTAATATTATGTAATATTAATTATCCTTTTGAATGAAAATTACAAACCAATAATCTATTTTTACTTTCTGCAAGTAGCACAGCATCAACATAACCAGCATAACACTATTATTTCCAAATCTCACCTACAATACTTCCTACCTGTCATATATCNAACAATTCCTTAAAAACTCAATGATAAGGTATCATTAAATTGATAGGGTAGAATTAAAAAATGATCATTTCTTTCACTGTAAAAATTTTTAAAATTAAAAAACATAATTTGTACTGTAATATTATGTAATATTAATTATCCTTTTGAATGAAAATTACAAACCAATAATCTGTTTTTACTTTCTGCAAGTAGCACAGCATCAACATAACCAGCATAACACTATTATTTCCAAATCTCACCTACAATACTTCCTACCTGTCATATATCATATGATTGACTACACCTTTCCTTTTATTTCTGTAACTTTCATTTAATAGTATAGGCCTACTGTACTGCAGTGTACTTTTATGACAAATTCAATTTTATTTTGCTGAACATGTATGCTATCTATTTGAAAATTATAAAATATTACAAAAGAAAACTTAAACTTTACCACTATGTAAAACCAGTTTTAAAAATTTATATCATTTTATTAACATCCTTCAAATTCCTTTTGAAATTTCTTTTATTTAACTTTTGGATGAAGAAATAATATAGTGAGACCATTATGAAAAGGATAAAATGACATTTATCAACCTATATAAAATAACAACAGCCATTTTAATAGAAACATTTTTTTTACAACCGGGTTAAACTACAAAATTTTTCTATTTTATCAAAATACAAATGATAAATATATTCTTCCATTTTTAATTTTAACAGTTAACCATTAATACCTCTCACAACCAACATTTTTCTTAGATAAATATCAGAAGTATCTGTAATTATTTTAACCCTCGTAATTTGGTTCTTCATCAACATCAAATTCTGCTTCATCATCAGCTGTTGCTTCTTGATATTGCTGATATTCTGACACAAGATCATTCATATTTGATTCTGCTTCTGTAAATTCCATTTCATCCATTCCTTCTCCAGTATACCAGTGAAGGAAAGCCTTTCTGCGAAACATGGCTGAAAGAAAAAATAAATAATATCAAAACAATATACAAACATTTTAATAAAAAGAAAAAATATGAAAAAATGAATTAAAAATTTACCAGAAAATTGCTCTGAAATTCTTTTAAAAATCTCCTGAATGGCTGTAGAATTTCCTATAAATGTGGCTGACATTTTCAGACCACGTGGAGGAATGTCACAAACAGCAATTTTAACGTTGTTTGGGATCCATTCTACAAAATAACTAAAAATAACAAAATAAAAAGTTTATCATGAAATATTCAAAGATTAAATTACTAATAAAAAATTTAAGAAAAAATTAATTAATAATATCAATAATAATACAGTAGAGCCTCGAAAACTCTGCCTAATGTGGACCAAAGGGTGGCCAAGTTTGTGAAAATGCCGGGTTATCGGGAATGGGGTTAAAAAAAGGATAAGTATGTGTGTTTCCTCAGAAAATATTGTACTGTACTTGTATGTATTGTTTGCTTGAGAATACAACAGAGAATAAACTGCCCAAATACCCTTAAACAAAGGAAAAGTACGTCCTTTATGAAGGCATAGAGCCTTTACTACATGAAAATGAAAATTAATGAATACACTGTGTACAGTAATTTACCTGATAAGACAGACCTCAGAAAAATACTTTATGAGAGCTTTTATACTTTTATAAAGCTGTCTATAATGAAAATTAATTAACTAAGGATTTTTTTGCCCTGCCAGGGTGTGGCCGAGTTATCCGGAGTGCCGGGTTATCAAGTGCCGAGTTTTCGAGGCTCTACTGTAATAATAATAATAATAATAATAGAGAATAATTGTATCTGTTGTAAGAGTAAAATTTATACATTATGAAAAAACTCTATTGACAATTAATTCAACAATGATTACTGTTCAGTCTGGTAGATAATCACCATCAATATCAACCAATCTCACCATCTCTACTACAGACTTTCAACCTGTGAGCCTAGAATGACTCAAATATTAGATATTGTCATTGAACTGTATATTGGCAATACTGTTTTGCAAGGTGGAAAATAGATGGTAGTCAGTTGGGACCAAGTCTGGGCTGTAAGGTGGATGAGGCAGAACATCCCAGTCCAGACTGGTAAGCTTCTCTAAGCTCATCATTAATCTATGAGCTGGCACAGTATCCAAAAATTGACAAAGTCCAATACTACAATGACAAAGTTCTTTATCTCAGTGTTCAAACAATCCAATTGTTCAAAGTAGAGTTCTTTCATGACAGCAATATTGATTGAAAGCAGCTCCATTTTCATGATGTCAAATGAACACAGATCATTGCTTTCTTCTGCACTATCAGCCAGTTAACCTTTGTTCACCCATGAATACTTAAATGCTTTGCAGATGAGACTAAGACCTTTGTTGTGTTTTGGCCACTTTTGAAGTGATAGAGCAACAGCTTGGAAAATGCATTCTTTCAAAAGTTTCATATTGTCAGACATTTTTGATGTGTGTATTTTCAAATAAATGTGATGAAACATCTTTGGTTATTCTTATATACTCATATTGGACATTCTAGAACATTTTTTCTACTCATTTCTAGAAAAAAATGGAAACATCTAAATTTTACCATTACAACCTGATATATTCAATTTAGTACATTTTTTAAAATATAATGCACTAAAATACTTATGAATCACATCAACAGAACATTTCAAATATAGGGTTATATAAAATATAAAACACAATAATAATAAAACATTTAGATTTTACAGTTCTCTCGTACAAACTGTATGAGATATATTGTTGGGATAAGAATATAGGGAAAACCATTACTGTAAGTTGTAATATGCATTTGCTTCATGGCTCATCATCAATCCATAAGAAAATATAAAATTTATATATTGAAGGGAACAGCTATAGAGTTAAAGTCAAAAACAATTTTTGAGTTACTAGAGTCAAAGTCAGTAAAAATGGACTGACTCCAAACTTCAATAAGTTAAAGTTCTAAAAAGTAGTCTGATGATTCACATTGACAGTGATGAAATGTTTTTATATTGCATGCATTCAATTGATATAAAAAGTATATGATTAGTACATTTATTATTTATATACCATATTGATATATAAATAAAGAAGTCAGTTTATATTCCTTTGATTCCAACTCTGAGAAGTTGGAGTAAGAGTCAAAGCATTTATGTACAGACTGCACAGCCCTTGGAAGAGAAGACTGACTTAATTTTTTAGTCTCTATAAATATTTCTGCTTACTAAGACTAAATTTAAAAAATTATAATGCAAAATCACTTTATTTACAGTGGAGCGTCGTTTATCCGAATCAATTGGGGACGGGTTGTTTGGATAACTTATTTTTCGGATAACTGATTATGTATGAAAAAATATATTAACCTATCCCGTGTTGAAATTTTTCTCCGTTGCGTATCGCTTCGTGTTGAATTTTTGTCGATGTTAAGCCTAATGTAAACTTTTTAAAATAATAATTGTGGCTATTGTATCGTTAAAAATGATTTCTTTATGTTTTACAAACAAAATATATACATTGAAAAATATAAAAACAAATAAAAATTATACTTTAGGCCGACTGGAATTCTTTCAGATAACCGACTTTCGGATAAACGACGCTCTACTGTATTTCATTTTATTTATTTATAAGTTAATGCAATAATGTTTTAATAAAAAATTTTTTAAATTTTAGTTTAAATCAGTAAAGAACATTTATTTGCAGAATACAAAATATAATTTATATTCAAATCTACAGATCGAGTAGAATATCTTATTAAATGTTTTTTAATTTGCTTAATCTTTGAAAAATATTAAATACAAGAATTTTGTTCCTTTTTAAACTTACTTTCAGATGAATATTTCTGAAGAAATGTTATATTTTTCCACTTATTTTTCCATTAATTAAAAAGCTATGCATGTATGCACTGTATTGATATTTTAAAATATTACAAGATAAAATAATTTATAAACTAAATGAAAAACTTCAAACTCAAATCAAAATTTTAAAATAAGAGTCTTCTGGAAAATTATTCAGTTTTATATTTTACTTCATTAAATTTTTGACTATCTTCTAAGTTTGTGTCAATAATCAAATTAAAGCTATTCAGTTAATGATAATATAAGTGGTATTTCTTTTGTTTAGGTCTTTCTCTGACAATTTATTTGTATATTTTTAGAAACACACTTACTAAATTAGTTAAGTCTTATTAAACTACATTCTTAAATTTAAAAAAATATAGGCTACACTGATCACCATATGCTACAAGTTTAAAGAAGTCAATTTTCAACACTGATGAGACATAGTTTGTCAAAACCCAAGCACCATATAGAACTCTGAGTCATTCTTAAGTAGAGAGAAAAAATATTTTTTAAGTTACACTAAAACAAATAGTTGCAAATTTTTTTATTAAAGATCATCTTTCAGATTATATTTTAACTCTGTTTTAATTATCATTACTGTTTGATTTACAGTTTACACAAAACAAATTTCATTAAAGAAGCACTGGAAATATGATTTAAAGTATATTCCAGTGAATAACTAACCTGTTTTAAAAGCAATTTTATACTCTAAAATGCTTCTCATAGAAAAACACATTTAATGTGTGTTAATAAAAAATTTATTAATATTTGTTGAAATCTGCTTTATAAAAAACCACTTTCACAATAAAGTCTGTGTTCAACAATTTCAAATAAACTACTTAAATATGAAATGGACTTTCACAATTATTTCTTTGAATATCTTGAAATTCTAACTCTATGTTTGATTGTGGATATAGATATTAGAGACTTCTGTTTAATATGATCACATTGAACAGAAAGATTCATGAATGCTTCCATTCAAAACTGTGTTTTGAATAGAAGCATCCATTCAAGATCAGCATGATCTTCCATTAAAACATAAGAACCAGCAAACAAAAATCTACTTACACTATTATCTACTTGTTAGTGGCAATATAAATAACATTTAGCATACGTAAATCAAAAATATAGTAACAAAAATTTTTTTTAAAATTGTTGAACATTAAGTTGGAATGCTATAAATTCTGAAAATATCTAAAAATACATTGACTTAAAATTGACTAGAAAAAATTAGGTTTAAACCTAAGATTATATTTTTCTTATATTGCAGTTTTATGTTTTCATGAAAAATAAAAAAATTATTATAATCATTTTGCACTGAATTTAAGATTCAAATGCTGCTTTATGCAATTTTTTCCAGGCATTTAGTTCTAGAAAGTCTTTTTTAGAAAGTTCTAGAAAATTTTGTCAATATTGTCAAAATTTTGTACTTTTGCAATACTTCCATTCATTGCCTTATGTAGATACAACAACTGTCTCATATTATTCTATTTAATCATAAAAACATATGACGATAATATCTAAAGTCAAACATTACGACTAAAAATTCATTTTGGAACTATTTACAAATAAATATATATAAATTTTCCTTACATTAAAATCTGCAGTTATAGCATTAAAATAAAACAACATATACATAGTCTTACCTGCTATTTTTATTCTGTACGTTGAGCATCTGTTCATCAACTTCTTTCATACTCATTCTTCCCCTAAACATTGCAGCTACTGTAAGATATCTACCATGACGAGGATCACAGGCTGCCATCATGTTTTTAGCATCAAACATCTATCATTAAACAATAAATTATATTGATATATTTGATATTTTAATTGATTAAGTAACTTAAACAGAAAAAATAACAAAATATCTAATTTTCCTTTTTGTTATTAATTTTTTAACTTTTAATGTTTTAGTGTAAGACTTTTTAATAAAATATATTATTTCTCAAGCATATTTAAGCATTATAAAAAGAATAGAAATTAAATTACAATCTTAATAGTAAATAAATAAATATATATATAAAATAGGTATTGAGATAAAGAAAATAAAATTAATAATTTTCATTAATTCATTTAAAATTTATAGAAATTTCATAAAAACAAATTCCTGTCATTTTTTCCATTTGCCTAGAAACAGTAAAAAGGAAAAAAATAGGACTCCAAAGTAAATAAATATGGAAAATACACATGGGCGTAGCGAGGGGGGAGCCTGGGTGGGCACGGCCCCTCCCAGGGAACCTGGTGCCCCCCCAGGAAATCACAGCCGAAAAAGTGTTGAGTCGATTTGTAAACACCTAAAAAAGTTTTGAATATTAAAAAAAAGGTGAATGGCTTGCTCGGTGCCCAATAATGAACAATAATTTGAAATAATTCAATTTTGTGTTAGGTTGGCCTCCACTAGGCCCCCCCATAACAAAACTCTAACTACGCCCATGGAAATACAATAATGGAATAATTTCAGAATCTTTCAAGCTTATACCCAAAATATTAGAATGTGGAAATATTGAAGAACACAGAAGAATCTCAAACAATAGGTGTTCTGATAATATGGATAATGAAATATTACCTCGTGTTTCTAGCTTCATATTATTATCTGTATAAAATGCTTACAATCAGGTAGCCAACTGTTTAAATTTTTTACAAAGGAGCCTTTTCATTCTTTAAGGCAGCTTCAGCTTCTTAACTTACAAAAGTCACTGCTCCAACTGAATTCAAATATGTTACAAATGTTGTCTTTTAATTCATAAGGCATTCATTTATCTGCTTTTTGATCTTGTCTACAGCAGTCAGATATCTGGATACTATTGAATAATGAATATGTAGTATAGCAGATATTTCCTAATCACTTTTTGGATAAGAAAATTGCTACATTGGCCATTGTCAACTGTTTAAGCTGAATAACCACATTGCTTAGTTTCTGGCTTATGTTTTCTGTATGAAATTTTTAGACTGGCATTGCATTATTCTTTTGCTTGCTGTTTCTTGTCCAAATGTTGTATTAATATTTGGATGCATTACATCTCAGTTTAAACTTATAATTTTCCTTTACATGAATTTGATTTGACTGCATGGTCAACTTTAAAAGTCCACTTATGTGTTTTTCACTACATATTGAAAGAAACTAGTGTGTGATGTACACAGATCTGTTGTTATAAGATATACATCTAAAACAACTGTGGAATATTTAATTCTATAAAACAGGTTCAAATCTGCCACACTGCAAAATTGGTCACTTCATAAGCATTATTAATTAAATTAAAATTTAATTTTACTTCACTTTTAATGACAAGATAGTTTAAATGATTTAATGAAATGAAATAAACAATTTCAGAGAAAGTATTAAAATAATTTGATTGCCAGTAAAATATATCAGCAATAAATGGCATGAAATTAAAAAATTGATTCTAAAATAAATTTTGAAAACAATTTTATTCTCAAATAGAGATTTATGAAAGCAAGGTATACATGATCGGCACAACCAGGGGCGGATCTAGGTTTTTCGGGTCTAGTGCTTATTGAAGTCCAATGAGGCCCCATTTTTTTTGTTAGATTAAGAATCTTTAAATTGGGGGTTTAAAATTCATTTTTAATAATATCAGAATCAGAGTTGAAATATATTTATTTATGAAATGGGGATGAATGACAAACTTTATATTGATAAGTGCTCATTGTTAATGAAAAAGTATTAAAAATTTATGATAATAATTAAGATTTTGTGGGCCCTTAACACTTGGGGCTCAGGACCTAAGCCCCAAGCCCCCAAGTGCAAAGGTTATTAGTCCCTATGTAGATCTGCCCTGGGTACAACTATATTGTTAAAGTAAAAGCATGACGTACTGTGTGAGGACCCGAACAGGGGTCGACTGAGAGTTTCGAATTATGGGTGTCAATTTAAAATAAAGAGCTCCTTTTCAGGCGCTAAGGAAACGGATTAGGTGTCTCGATTGAACAATGCAATTGTTTTTTTTTAGTAAATTTGTTAAACAATGGAAACGGATAAATTCGAGGAAAACGCGCCGAGAGAGAGGAATCATATTCAGTCGCAACGTTAACCTCTCCCGCGCCCTTCATTAGGTTTCAAATTGTCACCAGGTGACTATGAGAGACCAATGGAGAGGCGACGACGGTTAAGAAATCTATAAAACCGTGCGACTCAAGGGACAAAGGTTCTTGGTTCTTGGTGCTCCTCTCCTACTTATCAACAGCGACCGATTCGTCAACTCCTGTGACTTACTGTTGCTCTCCCGTGACGTCTTGATTTGCACAGATTTGCCTTTCACCAGAGACTTTCGCTGAAGCTGTGCCGCACGCCCCGGGGCCGTCGATCTCAACGTACGACATCGAAGGACCAAACGGAGAAAGTCGGACCATTGAAGGAACTTTTAATTTGCTCCCCGAGCTGTGTTACATTGAAAATTTGAAGAATGTTGTAAGAATTTTTTGTAATATAATAAATGGGTTAAAGATGGTAAACCTGTCTCAGAAAGTCATTCTGTGCCCACACGACAGAAGGAACCGCTCGGCTGTCGAAAAACCTCATCCTAATCGGCTGACCTCACAACTGTACAGGAGGCAAGCCACTACTAATTTGAAGTGGATAGCATAGGCTATATTTTGAATTAAATTATTTAAAAATATGATTAAAAATTGCAACCCAGCATTGTGAAAATGTCACAATAAGTCTTGTTGATTTATAAACATTTCTGTTTCTTGTTTCCAGAAGGCGACAACAGTTCAATAAGTTTCCACAAAGAAATGATAAAAAAAGTTTTTGAATATTAAATCTGAAAATAAAATAAATTCTAGAGAGGGGAAAATATGATAGCAGCACCTTACTTTCATACGAACTAAAAAGAAAAAAACAACTTTATATCAACTAAAGTTTCTCAGAATATAAGCCTAGTATCATTTTTTAACAGTGCTTTAAATTAAAAAGATGATGATAAGACCATTTAAATATGATTACAATGTATTGCAAAAACCTAATATATATATAAAATATTTCATCTATTCATTTGATCATCAGATTTCATTTTGTTGTCATCATCATCATCATCATGTAAGATTTTTTTTTGTTGTATTATTATACTGTACAATAATTATAGTAAAGAATAGTCATAATATGTTTAGAAAGGTTTTTCTGGTCAAAAATTGGGGGATATTCTTTAGAAATACAAGAACAAGTTTGGTTAACAATTACTGTAAATACACCAGTGACATTGCTATTAGAATTAATTATGATCGTTGAGAGACATTATTACAATATTTATCTTGTTCTTTTTACAAACACGATATTTAAATTAGTTTATTTTTATTCATTTCATCGGATATTTATTCTTTAGTCAATGTATCAAAATAATTAGGAGTAGGAATAAGCAAAATATTTATTTACATTAAACTTAAATTACTTAAGGAAAGTTCTATTTTTAATTTTGAATACAGAACATTAAACATTTTTATTTACCTGTTGTGTTAGTTCAGGAACAGATAGAGCACGATATTGTTGACTTCCTCTTGATGTAAGGGGTGCAAAACCAGGCATGAAGAAATGAAGTCTGGGGAATGGAACCATGTTAACTGCTAACTTTCTTAAATCTGCATTAAGTTGACCAGGGAATCTTAAGCATGTTGTGACACCAGACATTGTTGCTGATACTAAATGATTCAGATCACCATATGATGGAGATGTTAATTTGAGAGTTCGGAAACAAATATCATATAAAGCTTCATTATCTATGCAAAATGTTTCATCTGTATTTTCTACTAATTGGTGGACTGAAAGTGTAGCATTATAAGGTTCAACCACAGTATCAGATACCTGAAATTTAAATTTAGAAAATAAAGTGTTTTTAAAATTTGAAAATAGAAATCAAAGTAAAATAAGCAAAAACATTTTACTCCAATACTTTCTTTTAAAGATAAATTTTATCTGATTTCAATTTTTCATTATTATAATCTAATCAATCTTGTAATATAAAAATTTAATTTGTAATGTTTTACATTTGCATTAAATTTAAAGTTATCAGTCCTTAATCAGACTAGTGTATATACTGATCTGTTATTAAACAATAACAATAAATTGAAATCACAACATAAATGTTTATTTATTATTAGTCTATTATTATCCTATTATGTATAATATACATTAATTTTAAATACAGAAATGTTTGAAAGTAGTTTTATTTTTGTAAGCATTTTTGTTGATTAGAAACAACTCTATATTTCACATTTTATTACATTTATGCCTTAAAAGTACAACAAGTAATCTAATTTTTGGAAATTTTTAGACCATGGTGAAATACAAAATTTAATGCTTTAATTTTTTCTTTGCTTTGTTTCAGAAGTAAAAATATATTACTTGATACTAGTTTTTTCAAAATGGAAAACAAACATTTGATTCTTATTGACAATTTCAGTTAGGATTGCAGACTTGTAAGCTACTTATCATGATGCAGATTAAGATAACATTCAACATATCCTATATTAAAGTGACCAAATCATGAAATTAAAAAATGGGACATTGGACAGGGCACTTAGATGTAACTTGGTTTTTGTATTAGTTGATACCAAGATATTATTAAGTATTAATAATTGTCTAATCATTAAAAAAAATGTCTAGAATGCACAAGCATGATTAATAATTAACTCAATGAAAGTTTTTCAAAAAAATTTTTTTTTTTATTATTAACATAATGCTTCTTGATAAATTGATAATGACATCACTGATTTTTGAAAATTTAACAACCATTTACACAAGCAAGCTCAAGTACTCCATCAGATATTATTAGTACATTTGTATTAGTTAAAAGTCTTTTTACATTTGTTTGAATGTAATAGTATAATTATATATATATTGATAATAGAATATTCTTAGAACTGAGTAAGCAGTGGAACAGACCATCTGAAAGTAGAAGTCTGGTCACCTTAACAATATTCACTCACTTTAGTTACTGACATTATGTCAATTATGAATATACCATGTTAATTTAAATAAATAAATAAATAATACTAAGGAAATTCTTTATCAAAATTATTGTGCTACTGTTATATTAAAATATCAATTTAGCAAATCAAATATTTTTTTACATATTTTACTGAAATTCAATAATAGTGAAAATTTTTTATCAGTTATTATCACTCTCCAATGTTTTTGAACAAAGGAAATTCATACCAAAATGCTAATGGAAGTATGAAAACAGTTGAAGTGCAAACACAGTTTAGGAGGTTATATTCAAATTAAATGGTACAATTAACCACCATAATTGCACCTACTGGGATAATCTGCATGTTATGGTGGAACATCATGTTACTTTACTAGGAGTTAGTGTGGTGCAGCTAATCACCAAGAGGATTGATTAATTGCACCAATCTTTTTTGATGCTACTGTAACTGGTCCCATTTACTTGAACTAGCTGCGACAGTCTGTCATGCCAAGCATTAGAGAGGATTTTATTTTCAGCAAGATGGGGCACCCCACACTATCATCATGATGTTAGATCCTACCTTGATGAGATCTTGCCAAACAGGTGGATTAGATGAAGGTGTTTCATAGAACACCCTCCAAGTTCACCAGACCTCACACCATTAGACTTCTTTTTATGTGGATACTTAAAAGAAAAAGTCTATGTTATGAAACCTGTAACAGTTGCTGGATTGAGAGTAGCCATTGAACAAGAATGCGTGCAAATACCAAACAAAATGTTTCATGATTTTTGTGATTCCATTGCTTTGCATTGTAAGCAGTGCCTGGACCAGAACGGACATCAGTTTGAAAACAGGTGTTGACAAATATATTACATAATGTCTGTAGATTCTATTACATTTTGAAAATGAAATATTTTAATAAACATTGAATTTATAATTGTTTAAGTGTGTATACATTTTTTTGGGACACCCTGTATTTTGAAAATAATGTTTTTAGTTTCTATATTTATAAGTGAACCATTCATTTCTTATATATTCATTTGCTTTACAGTATACTTTTTCACTTGGACATCAAACTGTTAAAAATTATATCCAATAATCTTAGTATTATCCTTTTAATATTTTTGCTTTCTGATGCCATAGGAATAGAAATAGAAGAAAAAACATATGCTGTACTGCTTCATAAACAGGAATAAATTGTATGACTAATTTTTTAATCATACAATTTAATTCCTATTTATGAAGCAAAAACCAAAATTAAACTTGCTAAATAAGAAAATCTAATGCAATAGAAATAAAACTTTCATTTTATTATATGAATTTCAATAAATTTTGCTGTTTAATTCTAAATTATTATATTTCTAAACATAATTAAAAAGTGTGTTTGTGTGTCACACTTATTAGAAATACATTTGTTCTACCAAGCCCATAATAAAAATAGTCAGTGGTGAGAAATGATGCTTGACTTTCTGAGATGGGACACACTGTATTTTGAACACCTTGTATCCCATGAAAAATTCTTAAGGAACCCTATGCAATTTGAACCTGAGTCCCTGAGTGGGGTAAGCCAATGCCTTTAAGGCCAGTTCATACTTTGTGAGAATGAAAAACATGTCACTCTTCTCTTTTCTATTATTCTCTTCCCATAAACATTCATACTTTAAAAGAATGAAAGAAATGCACATATGCTTTCGATACTTGCAGTTAGGTATGCTTTCAAGGCTTTATTCTAGAGTTGTAATATTTTTAAGTTAATCTCTTTTAATTCAAGAAGAAGAGGACAGAGAATAAAACTGTACAAAAGAAAATGATCCAAAGTACATTTTTGATATCTCAGATAAGTTTTAAATATTACTATATATGTAAAGTTAATATCTATTCAGATTTGATTAATTTAAAATACTGCATGTAAATAATAAATTAAGATTTATTGAAAATAATTCTGGTAAAGTTCTAATCATTACAATTTTATTAATTCTATGTTTAAAGATGCAAAGGATTGTGGGCTGTCAACAGAGAAAAGAACTTCTGTCAACTTTTCTTACTGACTAAAAGAAAACAAAACTAGTAATGTGTGAATAGTTGCATACTAAACCTATTTCATATCATTTTCTCTTCTCTGCTCTGTTCTTACAAGGCACAAACCAGACTTTACTGCTTCAGCTATCTTATAATTTCCATTATTGATAGAAGAGAAATTATGCAGCAGCAAAATTTAAAAATTGTTTTTTCTAATACATGAACAAGAATTAGATATTTTTGATTTTTTAAAAGCCATTTTTAGAAAAATAAAGATAAATCATGTATGCATTCTTTCATATTATTTAATATTTGATTCTGAAAACTATATTATCTAAATATACTTTTAAAAAGAACCAAACATTTATTTAAATAAAATTTTATGTTGGATTTTAAGATGATTGCTTTAGTATTGTTATTTGTCTCAAGAACATTTATATATATTAATATCAATTATGATTGCATAAAGCTTTATTTATACACACTCTTGCTTGGTATGCCAAAGCCAAAAAGCAAACTCATTTCTGATAAATATTATATATGCTATAAAAGATTTAAAACTGAAAATTTACCTTAGGAGATGGAACAACAGAGAATGTAGTCATTATGCGGTCTGGATATTCTTCTCTGATTTTGGAAATGAGTAAAGTACCCATACCAGAACCAGTTCCTCCACCTAAAGAATGAGTGAGCTGGAAACCTTGCAGGCAATCACAGGATTCGGATTCCTTACGAACAACATCCATAACACTATCTACCAATTCAGCACCTTCTGTGTAATGACCTTTGGCCCAATTATTTCCTGCACCACTCTGTCCTAAAATTTTGAAATTTTGTTTAAAATTTTTAAGTAAAAATGAAAGGCAAAAAGATAAATTTACCTTGGAAAATATAGATAAACATTATATCTTATAATATTACTATATCAAACCTATTATATATTGTTTAGATAGATAAAGATAAAATTTTTCTTTGAAGACAGAATTATTTTTGAAATTTCAACACAAGTTTATATATAATACATGGATCAACTTCAGGAAATTACATAAAAGAGATGACTAAGTATTTAATATATTACAAACAATATGACCTATATCAGTTTGAAAGAATGAAATAAAAATTGTTAGAACGATTTATAAAAGATAAAATTCATGATTTTTCTTAAAATACATTTAAACCGAAAACTGTTTAAAAAAAGAAGTTTATTTCATTAACTTTTCCTAAAATAAAATAGAGTTAAGCAATGAACTATATTAATTATATATAAATCATTGTTTATTACATACCAAATATGAAGTTATCTGGTCGAAACAAGAGTCCAAATGGACCTGAACGTACAGAGTCCATTGTTCCAGGCTCCAGATCAACCAAAAGTGCTCTAGGAACATATTTACCACCTAAAAAATTTAAATTATTTTAAGTTTAAAAACCAAATAATTAGTCATTATAATTTACAAATCACTGATATTTCTATTTTAAAATTGTAATCATCACCTTTGACCATTTCTTTACAATTTCTAAAGATTAAGTTTAAAAAACTGTTGATATCTGGAAATAATTACCTCTAAATCAATTTTATTAACCAAATAAATCTATTGATTTAATAAAATCTCAGCGAGCATTCCAATTGAAAACTGTGGTATGATAAATCCTTAAAATTTACAGCAAATTACATATAACTGTTAAGAAGATGCATTACAATGTTGGACAAAAAGCAATAATTACAGTTATATTCTTTCTTTCTTTATGTGTCTTCTCCTGTCAGGAGGTTGACAACCATTTCATGCCACCATGACCTATCTTGTGCTTCTCTTNTCAGGGTTTTGATTCCTCCATCATCTAGAGCTTTAATCCATTCTGGTTCTATATTGTCAGGTCCAGCAGCCTTACTGGGTTTAAGTTTACCAATGGCTTTTACAACTTCCCATTTGAGTATTGGAGGACCTTCTAACTCCCTGGGAGACTCGATCTTCTCCCTGTCGCCTTGGAATAATTCCTTTCCATACTCATACCACCTTTTCATTATTTCCTCTGTCTCCAAGACTATTTTCCCGTTTAAATCTCTTATATTAAGTTTTACAATAAATTTAAGATCAATATAAGTAAATAATAACCAATTTATTATATATTCAAAGCAAAAATGTTTCTAAAAATATTCATGATCATGAATATTTTAAGAAAGCAGTGTTGTTTTTAATTTAATTATTATTGCATAAAATAATTAATATTTAACAATAATAATAAATATATCTGAGAACAATCAGACAAAATCACAGCAGACTGTGTATGTTGCAAAATAGATCTATATCTACAGATAAATATCTACAGAACAACTATATAAAATGTTTGAATTTAATTAGAATGTAACATATTTTTAATTATTCCCCATTTTAAACAATATATTATAAAGATAGCACTTTTTATTATTATTTTTTGGTCTATTAAAAAACAAGCATTTCTTCTACAGTTGATTTAATAAGATAATGTTTGCAACATATTATTCACTCCCTTAATCTGATAACATAAGGGCATATTTTGCAAATTTTAAGTTTTATGAGACTAAAATTAAATTTTATAATTACCTGCAGCTTCATTATAATAGACATTAATTCTTTCTAGTTGTAAATCAGAATCACCGTGGTATGTTCCTGTGGCATCAATTCCATGTTCATCGGATATAACTTCCCAGAACTGAAATAATTAAAAATTACTTTATTTTTCGCATCATCAATACACATTCTAGATATGTATGCACTATGGTAAAATGTTTTCTGATAAGTTAAAACTTTCTTAGATATATTTACTCTGCGTATTTAGTTTTGTAAAGTTAAAATACTAAATTTAGTGATGATATCACCCGTGAAACATCCGAATACAACAGGTAACGTCATAATATATATACTTTTTTAACAGATACTGCTTAATTGCACGTTTTAACGCTTACCTTAGCACCAATCTGATTTCCACACTGACCAGCCTGTATATGAACGATTTCACGCATTTTCTACAAAGTTCGTAAAGTTAGTTCGCAGATCGATAGCTCTACCAAGTTTCAGAGAAAGCAGAAAGAGGATGAGGTCGTTTATAAGCTCAGTATTATCGTATTGAATACTAACCAATAAGAACAGTGCAACGTCACCATTCATCCACTCCCTTTTAAATCAGGTTCAAACCAGTTGCAATGTAAACTGGGCGTAGTCTAGCTTGCTTTTATAAAATTCAATGATTTTTATGCTCTAAAGCCGCTTTGCTTATAAACAAAGCGTTATTCTTCTGAAATATCTTAAATCGGGGACATACAGTAAACAAAATTTAGTTACCAAAAACCATGACGTCACAGTCGTATAGAACGTCACACTTTCGTTTCTAAATCTGTCACGTGCTTTACCTGATCGAGCCGAGAGAAAAATAAATTGTGATGCTTCAAGGTTTCTTTTTAACCTAGTTTCGTGTCGAAAACAGGTCGCATTATGTAGTTTCGACTGACGATATCATTTAAGAACGCAGTTATTGAAAATCGCGTGCAATAATTTAAAAGTTATATTTGAGTCTAAATTTCTTTACTACGAACTTAGCATTTACCTATTATATTTTCTCTACTTATATATATATATATATATAATTTATTATCGTATGACACCGTTAACAGACCTTACATGCATTTGCCTTATGTAATCAGTGTAATTACTAATCGATGATCGATTTAACACAAGTTAGATAATTGAAGTGTCACGTTGCATAGAAGAAGACAAACATATGAGTAATTTAGGTTTTAGCCCCAATAGCCGTTTGAGTGTATTATTTCATCAGTTGAGATTTTTTTTAATGGTTTCAGAACTTTCGGTCTCATCAATGTCATCACATGACTTAGTTCCTAGTGGACCATTACAACTAAAACATCTGAAAATGCTACAAGTAGACGAAGTATCTAGACCAGCAAGTTTAACTACACATTCTAATTTTAGTATTCGTTTAGCATTGAACGTCTGAAAATCTGTTGTATGCTTATATTATCTAATATGCTGCGTTCTTTTATCAATTTTCCAAACATTTCTTATCATCTTGACCGTTAATATGGTTTAAGTGGCTCGTCCTTAGCACTACTACGACTTCCTGAGGCACTAAATAAGCTTTTAACAGGTTGGAAAGGTTTCATTACTAGGTCAGCGAACTGCATAACAGCGAGACGACACGTCGCATAACTTTTGAGTTTTTCCTTTATCTATCTATATATTTTTTTTAAAATAAATATTACAAAAATCTGATACGAGATATAAATGCTAGTATGATGTGTCACAACGCAGTCGTAGGCTGTATGACATCATTAAATGTTTTAATTTTAACTTTTTAATTAATTCGCTCTTGTTTCGAAGGTTAGCGTGTATTTATAAAAATTTGTAATAATGCCCTGCATTACAAAAAATGTTTAAATTGTACTACTTTTAAAAATTATGTTTGTATATTTTTGTAATTAAAATGGTGTATTTATAATGAATAGATGAAATGCTATTGTATCTTAGCTCCGGAGATAACACCTATTTAATCTTAATGAAAATTGTTCTATTGTTTTCCTGTTTCATCGTTTTGATTAGATGACGAAGTAATATGATATTAATTAAATTTGATTTATATAACGTTTTCCCGATTTCTCAATGTTTTCATAACTATAAAAAATATTTAATTATAGGTTTTTAAAATATATAATTAATCCTTTAGATTTTAAAATATTTCTTTATTTTATAAAATTAATAATGTTTTCCAGTATTTTGTAATTCAATAAAAAATTATTTTCGTCATTTATTTATTTTTCTCATTTTTGTATTTGTATTTGATTTAAAATTTATCTTTAAATTAAATAAATATAAGAAATGTTTAAATATATTTTTAAATAGAAAATTATTTTTAAGTTTTAACTGGATAAAGTTTTTACAAAAAAGATTTTGAAATGTTCTAAAAATAAAATAAAATCATTTTTTTAAAATTCTTTTCAAATATTCAAACTTTGAATTCTTTCTTTACACTTTTTTTTGGATGAGAATTATATTTTTTAAAAATAACATTTACTTTTGAAGATGAATTTTAAAAACTGACATTCTTTAGAAATATTCTTTCTTAAGATGTTTTTAAAAAAGTCTTGTTCTTTAAAATTAATATTTCTTTTTTTAATAAAAATTTTAGAAATTATTGTTTTTTAATTAAAAATTTTATCTCATTTTTCACATTTCACTAACCAGACAATTTCAAAAGTTATTCAAATAAATATATAGGCCTAATAAAAGAAAAATGGTTTTAAATTATAAAAATAATTCTTAAACATTTCTAATATAAAAAATTGTACCGGTACGTGTATCTAGGCTATATGAAGAATTTTTATTCGTGTACTTAGAAACCTTTACGAACTATTTCTATAAAAAAAATAAAATTTTGTGTAATACTTTACACTGTTTTTTATTTTTTTTTAAATAATTTGCACTTTAAAAACGACACTTAAACTACTTCAAATATGTTTTCGATACATTTCTCAGAAATAATATAAATTTTTATTTCTAATTTTTTCTAACTATAATAAAACAGAAAACAAACCATAAAACAATAATAAATTTCAAAGAATCATCATCAAGAGGTTTTATTCTAATATATTTTTCATTATTATAAGGAATAATATTCAAAAATATTACAAAATAAATTTAAATTGTTTGTTATCTGTATCTTGTTTGGTAGCTTATATATAAATATTTAGCATTATGGATACTTCACAAAATTACTTTAATGTATTATTTGCTTATTTTTATTAAATATAATTGTTTTATGGCACATGAATGGCTATAAATATCTTTTTACACATCGAAAAGATTAAAAATTTTGATTTTATTTTAAATTTTCTTATATTATCTCACATATTATCTCAATGTTTTACTCATAAACTTTATTGCTTTCAAAAATAAACTGTTATTAACATTAAAAAAGTTTTATACTATTATAAGTTTATATTTTAAAAATTTAAAAGCTAGATAATGTAAAATTTTGCTTTTGGTTTTTTCAGAACAAAGGAATTATTTATACCTGCAAAACTTGTAAGGTGTTCTTTGTAAGATGTCAATATGTTTCGTGGGATTTAAGACCAGTTATATTTAAAAATTCATGAAAGATATAGGCTTATGTGGGTGTTATTTATTGCCACTTCATCATGACAAGAACACGAATTTTACCATATTTGGTATCGAAAAGAAATTGTTTTTAGTAAATTATTCGTTTATATAAGTTATGTTTGTGTAGGTGTGTATGAGTGTATATGCACAATTAATCTACAATTATATAATGAATTATTGATATATGTACTGTATATATGTATATAAATGGTTATATACATGTTATACCATGTTTAAAATGCAAAACATATTAAATACTCATGTTTTACAATAATTTAAAAGTTATATTTGAGTCTAAATTTCTTTACTACGAACTTAGCATTTACCTATTATATTTTCTCTACTTATATATATATATATATATAATTTATTATCGTATGACACCGTTAACAGACCTTACATGCATTTGCCTTATGTAATCAGTGTAATTACTAATCGATGATCGATTTAACACAAGTTAGATAATTGAAGTGTCACGTTGCATAGAAGAAGACAAACATATGAGTAATTTAGGTTTTAGCCNAAATATTTGTTTTAAATTTTTATTAATAATTTATTTTATAAAATAGATTTTATAGTATGAAATAACTTTATAAATCCTTTTTACATTTTTACCTTTTATATTCTACAGTTTATTTTAAAAATTTTATATATACTTTCACCCTGCATGCATTTTTAAAAATATTTTTAAAATACCATATATATGTGTTCTTTTAGTGTTTTATTTTTATATTTAATCAAAATATTGTTTTCGTTTTGATAAAAATTTTTTTAAAATATTTCAACTATTTTTATAATTCAACTTAAATTTCAAAATTAAAAATATTATTTGAAGCTCTTTAAAGTTAAAAAAAAAAAATTAAATTTTTCCGAAATTTAATTTTTAGATCGTTTCGCCATCTATTGAGAGAGACAGAAACTATCGACTTATTTTATACTTAGAATTTTAATACAGCAGTAGAAAATTTCCAAGACACCGAATGCTGATACATATACATATTTTACACTGACAAGTTATTGTTATTGCACACATTACTGTATGCAAATAGAACACTTTCATATAATTTTATCAGCCCATTTATCTTCGAATATGTGGAATTGAAAGGAAACTCATGCACCACTTAGACGTCCCAGCAAAAGAAATTCGCTATAAATATAGAGAAGCCACATAAAATTTGATATATTTCGTGAACTTTCTACCATTATAAGTCAACGATCTACTATAATAAGTAATTCTTGATTTACATGTTTAGGTTTACAATTTACTATATACAATTTTTGAGCTGTTATTCATAAACGGGTATAAACTACTAGTCGATTACATCTTTATATAATGATTAAATTAAATTAATCATAAAGAAAAAATTAAAATTCATAATAACAATGATTGTGCAGAAGAAGAGGAGATTTTAGTACTTTTGTAATATAATGATTTGAATAAGTACAGTACAGTATTATTAATTCAGATGAATTTAAAAGTGGCTCAAATCAGTTATACGAGATATATTTTTAAGAACGGTTAAGATATATTTCGGTTAACTTACTTTTAGGTCAATGTTTTTCGATCGATTATGATTTAAATAAAAATAAAAATATGTACTTCATAATTTTCTGAATACGGTGTAAAACTAGACACCAATGTAATCTCACTATTTTCTTTGATGAGCATTATTCTTTGAGAAAACAAATAACAAATTTTGACACTTAAAATGCTTATATATGCGTCGTATATAATATAATATCGATCCGAAAGGCCGTTAGATTATAGATTGACATATATATGTCGAATATCCTAATAATAAGTATTAAGGGAATGGTGACTGTTATATAACTCTATGCCAATATCCATATC